TCCCTGGAAGCCTCTTGAAGGTGGAAGGAGAGAACTAACTCCATATGCTGTCCTTTGACTTCTGCATGCATGTTGAGGCATGTACCACATGACCATACAATAGTAATAAAATGTATGACTTCATTATAATTAAAGATTATTTTTAAAGTCCTAAAAACAGATATCATTTGATGCTTATTTCATCAATCAGTCTACTCTGGACATTAGGAAGAAGCTACAGAAGCAAGAAACAAGATATAAATAATCCAAGATTGACCCACCTAGCAGGTCCTAAGTTATTCCAGGATATGAAGAGGCACTATCTGAAAGACGTGTGTGTGTGTGTGTGTGTGAGAGAGAGAGAGAGAGAAAGAGAGAGAGAGAAAGGAGAGAGAGAGAGAGGAGAGAGAGAGATGCCAAGCAGTATTCTTTTTGTCAAGGCATTCCGTTTATTGAAGCAAGTTTTACATCTTATATACTCCTCAGTGAGGAGCTTGGGCAGGGGGGAACTGAGGAAGGGGGAAAGGGGTGAGGGAAAGGAGGGGCTTGGTAGCTAGGCAGCAAAGCAGGGCAGTTGCAAGATCAGTGGCTAGAGCACCTGCTGTTAGTGATAAGTAGCAAACAAAGAAGACACTCTGAGGTGCCCTTTGAAGCATGACTCTCCAAGGTCAGTTACAATGTCTCAGTTAACTTTAAGTTTTGCTGTCTCAAGATTTTTACCTCAAGACCCTGTGAGACATAAGAAAGGAGAAGCCTGAAATGGCTCCTGACACAAGATAACTTTTGAATTTGGCTTTTGTAGTTTTGTACAACAAACTTGAAAGAGAGTCCAAAAGGGGAAAAGATCACAGACATGAGAGAAAGCAGAATCCAACTGGGACCCTGCCTAGTAATGGTTTTGTAACAAAGATCAGCTGTCATAAATAAAGAGCAGAACAGGCCTCCTTGCCCAGGTTCTGAGTTTTCATTCAGTTTCCCACCGGTGTGGGCAGCATTGTGGATCTAGTCCCTACTGCACTCTGTCTTTACTTTTTTTGTTGTTATTTCTACTTTTCTATCATGTCTTTGCTTCACTTTGGTGCACTAAGGCTTTTCTTCATGTGGCAGCTGGTCCTGGCTTTTCCCATTCCAGAGTTCACTGGGAAGACACGCCAGTTGACTTCAGAGAACTGGGTGCTAACCAAACTCTGGTCTTGGCACTCCTCTGATCATCTACCTAAATCCCCACATACTCGAGCACCTGAGACAGACAAAGGGGGCACTGAGTATCTGAGGCCCCCTGCTCGCAAAGAGATGTTGGCCCCACTTGAGGAGTTGACTGACAGTTTACTTCTATTCCAGGACCCCAGAACTTCTTGGGAGTCAAACCCAGAGCCTGCGGAACTTGGTGTTTCACATCAGCATCTGACCAACAAGCTGATACCACCTGGGAAGCAGCCAGAGAACATTTTAACACTAAATGGGGATCAAATTCAGGCTCCCATTCTGCGTTCACAGTTCAAAAGTACTGCCAGTCTAGCTGAGGCTGCAGATCATCAGTTGAATGAAATACTTGTTCCACCACTAGACAGCCAGAGTTCAAAAGCAACAACCTTCATGGTTTCACCCAAGGAGTTGAAGAAAGATTTAACTCAGCACAGGAAATTTGCTAAGGTGGTTGATGGAAAACCTCAATTTCACAAACAAACCAAGGATGATGATTATGGTGACCTGAATATGAATGAAGCTTATTCTTACAGCCTTCCTCTGCAATCCCAGGAAGATGCAGATGAAGCTCCAGAGTTCCTAGAGCAGGATGAACCTGACCAGTTGGAGACACAAGTTCAAAATACAGAGAATCTCCATCAGGAAGCTCCAGATTATTTCCCACAGGAAGATGAACCTTTAATCCAAAAAGAAGACCCAGCTCAACATCAGCTTCCTTCTGAGGAAACATCAGTTCATCCTGAAATACGTGGTCCACCTCCAAAAAGAAATGAAGCTCAGCACTCAAACCTGCCAAATGTGACAGTGAATCCTGTGGCTTCAGAGGCAGATAAGAAGGTACAAGCTACTCTGGGCCAGCAACAGCCCCTAGCCCAGTTTCCAGAGAGTTCTGAGTTGTTGGAACCTTCATCAACCCAACAAGAGGCCCCAGCTCAGATTTTAGAGCTTCCTGAAGACCTTGAAAATTCTGGTATCCAGCTAGAAGTTCCAGCTCTGCCTACAAAGCTTCCCGAAGAAACCAGTCCTCTAGTTGAGCAAGAGGGTACAGTTCCAGTTCCAGAATCCTCTATGCAGAGTATAGCTGGAACTTTATTATAACTTCTGAACCTAGAACAACGAATGAGTAATCTCCATATGAGAAAGAGACTCCAACTCAGACTCCCGGTCCTCTTGTTGAAACTGAACATTTCCCCAGCCAGCAGCATCAGCCAACTGAACCTTCTGAGTATTCTGAGGAGGCTGAATCTTCTGGAGTTGATTTGGAGTCTCCAGTTCAGCCTCAAGAGGAAGCAGAGGAGTTAGGACCTTTACCAATGCAGCAAGAAGATTTATCTCAACATCCAGGTCCTCTTCTGGAGGATGACTCTAAACTCAGTGAACTAGAGAGGCCAGGACAACTTTCTGAGTCTCCTGAGGAGGTAGAATTGGGTTCTGGAAACCAGCCAGAAGCCTCAGTTCAACCTGCAGAGCTCCCTCCAGTTGAACAAGAGGATCCACTTCAAACTCCAGAGTCCCCTATTGAGAATGTGGTTGAAACTCCACCAATTCACAAAGTCCAGCCAGATCGAAATGAAGAGCACCATTATTACTTACCACATGTTACAGTTAGACCCGTGGATGTGGCACTTACCATAACTTCAGAACCTACCAAGGAGACTGAATCTTCTCTGACCCAGCAGGTGTCCCCAGTGCATCCTTTGGAGTATACTGAGCAGATGGAACCCTTTCTCCATGAGGAGAAGCCTCCAACTCAGGCTTCTGGGCCTTCTGGAGAGAGTCAATTTCAAAGCCAGCTGGAGGTACCAGCTCAAGCCTTAGAGTATGCTGAAGAGTTTAAACCTTCTGCAACTGAGCAGGAACAAGCAACTCAGTCTCCAGTGCATCATGAAGCGACAGTTTTGCCTCCAGGTCACTATCAAGCTCAGCATTCTAACCTGTCTTATGTGACTGGTCAACTTCCAGATATGGAGATTAAAGTAACAGAGAATCCTGTAGCTGCGATGGGAACTGTGTACAATGAGGCTACAGCATCTGAAGAGGTTGAACTGTCAAAACAACAGGGTGTTTTATATCAGTCCCCAGAACATATTCTGCATCATAAACCTCTAAGCCAGCAAGAAGACACAACTGGAATATCACAGATCTCTGAAGAAGGAAAACCCTTTCCAGCACAGCAGGAGACTTCAGAACAGATGCTAGAGCTGCCCGATGAAGAACTTCCAGGTTACCATGAGGTAACAGTTTCATCCCTGGGTCATGGTCAAGTTTATTTTTCAGCATCACACAATATCCCAATTGATCATCAAACCAACCCACAAAAGGATCATCATTCTCCAGTTGGTCAAGGGGTCCCAACCCAACCTGAAAATTTTCCTGAGGAACCGTATCCAAGTCAGCAGGGGAGCTCAACTTGGCCTTCAATAACAGATAGGTTTTTTTTTCATCTGCAGATCTAGAGGCAACATTCAGAACTGAACTTCCAAAGTCATATAAAACCACTGTTAAACATGTGGACCTAGAACTGACCATAACTCCAGAACCTTCTCTGAAGGATGGATAAGTTCCATTTCCACAAGAAGACTTCCGTCAGCCTATAGACTCCACTGGGAAAGGTAAATTTTCACAGATTCAGACTAATGCCCTTTCCAAGCGTCCATATTTCTTCAGAACTGAATCTCTAGCCTTCCAGGAGGCCATAACTCAGACAACACACCACTTTAAAGAGGTACACCTTTATTCAACTCAACAGGAAGCCTCAGAACTGCCTCCGGGTCACAGTATGAGAGTAAGACCTTCTTTACATCAACAAATAACCCTATCTCATCCCGTAGACCTCCATGAGAATCCGAAAACATTTCTAGCACTGAAGCCCACTGCAGCTCAGACTTTAAAACTCCGTAGAAAAGGAAAAATTTCTCTAACCCATAAAGTGATTCCACACCCTCCAAAGCCACAGAAAAATATTGTAACTCACATTCCAGCCCACAAGATGACTGTTCCAAGGCCAGATCAGGATCAAGTTGAGTATACACTATCACCTAATGGTTTATTTCAGCCTTTGGACCTAGAAGTTACTGTAACCCCAGGAATTAGTCCAGAGACTAAGCATTATATACTACCAAAGAAAACTGTAAATCCACATTTTCAAGTAAACTTCCACATCCACATCATAGTGAGACTCAACATCCAAACCCAACTAAAAACGCATTTCAACCTTTGGATCTAGAAGTCGCCGTAAATCTAAAACCTAAGGAGAAACTTTCTCAAACTATGGAAGAGACCACACACGTGATGGAACCTCCAGAAGAGAGTTTAACTCAAGGTCTAGAATATCATGAGATGACAATTCCACTACCAACTCAGGATCAAGCTAAGTATCCGTCATCACTTACTGTCTCATTTCAGCCCTTAGACCTAGAACTCCCCCTAACTTCAGAGCCTACCAGAGAGTCAGCATTCTACAGTTCCACAGCACCCTCAGCATCCAAACCCTATAGAAGACACAGTTCAGCCTTTGGATCCAGAACTCTCCATAACTTATACAACTACTGCTAAGGGAGAACATTCTCAAACTGTCCATCGACCACAAGTCTAATTACAGAACCACCTAAGGAGGTTGTAGCTCAAGAGCAGGAATATCAAGAGGCGACAGTTCCAACAGAAACTCAGCATCAAGTAGTTCTTTCATCTCAACTTGGAATGTAAGCAGATTTCAGCCTGCTCAAGTACCCTAGACCACACATCATCATAAGCTTTTGGACCTTTACAGATGGAAGCCTCTCGGCCCTTACCCTGCCGTGCTGCAGAGACAGGAATTTGGAGAAACACAAACCTTGCTGTGGACAAAAGTCAGCATCCATATGGAAGGTGATGCCACTCTTCATGAGGACCAAGGATGCACCAGGCACAGAGCTGGGCACTTTAGTTACAATGTTGACACAGGGAATGAAACTCTCAAGCCAGCTCCAATGCTACACTTGAGAGGAAGGGCTATTGACCTTGGTAACAGTGTTAGAAACAAAGAACCTGACAAAGCAGGAATAGAGGAGCCTCTGTTGCTGGGCTTCCCAAAGCCTGGGGCAGGTCTTTCCACACAGCTGCTTACATTGTTCATTTCTCAAAACAAGTTTTGAGAAACGTTATTCTTTACCCCAGAACTGGCAACACAAGCACTTTCCACATCCATTTATTTAATATTACTATTCATTATTATTAGCATTATTTGTTTTGGTTTTTAGAGACAGGGTCTCCATATGTAGTCCTTACTGTCCTGGGACTCACCTTGTAGACCAGGGTGTCCTCAAGCTCACAGAGATCCACCTCCCTCTACTTTTCGAGTACCGGGATGAAAGGCGTGCATAACTGTGCCAGGCTTCATATCCTTTAGACATGAGGGAAGCGGTGTTAGAAGTCAGAGGCTATAGTTTCCTGCTTGGATCATCTATCCCTATTTCTGAGGTGGCCATATCCCTCTTATTATCCCTTCCTCCCTCCTCTGGCCCTCGCCACCGTCAGAAATCATCTTGATTCTCCAGGTAAGGACCTGTAGCTGCACCTGACCCTCATGGTCATCAGAAGCATCGTGAGGCCCCCAAGTGACGGGGGAAGAAGGACATGCAGTGAGAACAGAGCAGCCCCCAGACAAGAGGAGCCCTGAACTTCCGTGTGTGTGTGTTTAAGAACTTAGAGTAATGGTTGTCTAGAATCTGCTATCATTCTGGATAAAGAGGGTAACTAGAGTTGTTAGGGTCCAAGCCTATGTCCCAGCCCTCAAAACAAACTAGGCTCAAAAGGCTGATAGAGGAAACCGTCATGAAAAGTAGAGGAGGATTTATCAGTGTGGCCACATCGGGAAGTGGAGCACCAGGTTCTCCTCGAGTCCATCTTCTTGGTCCTGACATAAAGTTTAGATTCAAATAGAGGGCAAGAAGTATACATTACTAAGTAACCCTGTTCATGACATAGCTCTGTTCATGTCTCTGGCACATTGTTGAGAATCTCTGACTGACACCAGGCTTTGGCTTTTTCCTTTCCCATCACTAGATTGTGGGGAAATTTCAATTTCTTCGAAATCACTATTTTAATAATGTCCTGGTTAGTGTTACTATTGCTGTGATAAAGCACCATGACCAAAAGTAAGTTGTGGAAAGGTCTGGTTAGTTCAACAGTGTGGAAAAGTGAAGCCCTGGCTTTCATCTTCCTCTGCTCCCTGAGTGCAGATGCAGTGTGAACAGCTGGCTCCTGCTCCTCCCACCAAAGTTGTGTGAGTTTTGTTTGTGTTCTGACAAATAAAGCTTGCTTGGAGTCAGAGGATAGAGCTAGCCACTAGTTAACCATAGAGGTCTGGATGTCTGTACAGAAAGGAGACAGGATCTTAGCCTTTTCAGATGGAGGATGAAAGAGGTAGGAAGGGACTATGGCTCTCTCTCTCTCTCTGCTTCTCTAATCTTTCAGGTTTTTACCCCCAATTCTAACTTCTGGTTTTTTATTGATAAGATTAATTAGATTTATGCTTCAACTAGCTCCCAACTTTTAGGGCACAATTTTTTTTAATTTTTTTACAGTTTATTTAGCTTTATTTTATGTGCATTGGTGTGAAGGTGTCAGATCCCCTGAAACTGGATTTTCAGACAGTTGTGAGCTGCCATGTGGGCGCTGGGAATTGAACCCGGGTCCTCGAGAAGAGCAGTCAATGCTCTTAAACGCTGAGACATCTCTCCAGCCCCTTGGGGCACAAATTTATGAAATAGCTCCTTGCCAGTTGTTTGCAGGCATTGGCCAGAGCTGCACAACCAGGGTCACCTCACCGTCAGCTTGGTTTTCCTTGTTTTTCCTTTTCTTCCCTAAGCCCTCTGAGTGAGTCTGGAGTTTTTCTGTTGCAGCCTCTCTACAGTAATCTCCACAGGCAAAGATAGATGCACAGGTGGAAACAAAGACTCTGAAGATAAAGATTGACCTAATGTTGCAGGATATTTGATTACACTGTGAACCCTGAGATTGTGTTCTTTACTGGAAAGCCATGAGTTGTGCTGTGGCTCAGCCATACCACACACCTTATATCTAGGTTTTCTGTCTGAATATTCTAATCATGATTAAATAAAACCAATCACAGGTCAAGAGGCAGAACAAGCAACCAGCTGACAGGAAAAAGTCATAGAGAATAAGAAGAAGTCCGTGCAGGGAGAGACACACAGGAAACAGAAAGGAGGGACATCCAGTTGGAAGAATTTCCTTTGAGATGGCATAGGAGAACACACTCTTGCTGGTATGTCAGCTGAGGAGGGTCATGCAGGTGCTTTCTCTCTCTCTCTCTCTCTCTCTCTCTCTCTCTCTCTCTCTCTCTCAGCTTGCAGGTGTTCACTTCAGCATCTGGCTCTCCAGTCTTTATTGTTAAACTGAATAATTGAGATTTAGTCAAAAAGCAACATTTGGTGCTCCAATGTGTGGCAGAGAAATCATGCCAGCTGCAGACAAATAGGAAAGACATCAGCTTTGTTAAGACACCTAGAATGTCCTCAAAGAGTTAAATAATATTAAAAGGAGAAAATTTCTCAGGTTAAGGATGAGAAATATCATAATTCAGGAATTAGAATCCTGTAGAATGATACAGAAAGAGTGAAATTAGAAGCAGGAAATGAAAAGATAAATGACTTATCTGAGATTGACATAATATCAATTGTTATAATTACTATTAGTCCGGTAAATCATATTTTATCCTTAATAGTCACAGTGGTTTTCCTGTGCCAAATACGAAAAGTGGATTGATAAGCTGCAATCCTTAGAAAGACATATGAATAAAAATAAGAAAACTACAAACAGAGGAATTTAGACAAGAACCTACTACATCACTGCATGATGAAATTGAAGAGGAGCAGCCCAAGGTTGTTAGGATGCAACCTTAGTTTATATAGTTCGTATACAAGAGCTACAAGGAGGCTATAGACATCCTCAAAGTTTTCAAGAAGTTAATAGAACTCTATAGAAATACTAGATTGGAAGAGATTTAAGGAAATGGTTGTTTCATATGGTAAGCATTCAGCCTTCATGAAGTAGATATTAACATCATATTAAACTCAGAACAGAATTATCTCCCAGGACTAGAAAGACTGGGCAACAGCAATATGGGAAACTGGTCCTCAGTTACAATGACAAACATAGTGGAGAGAGGAAGTGAGGAATATAGAACAATGAAATAGGGTTAGAGCCATTAGTATTTCCCCAAAGATTGGTTTCTAGGTGAGGATCAATATGCTGAATCACAAAGGCAGCTTAAATTTGATGATCATATGTTGGTGCTATGTCATTTAGCAACATTAAATGCTTGGGACAAGGTTGAAGAATCAGGAAAGAAGTCTGAGTCCTTTACTAAAATTATACAAGGCCCCAAAGAAGCCTATACTGTTATTTTGGAAAGATTAGCTTCAGATACAAATAGAATAGTATATCCAGAAGTCAGACAAAATTAATGGAATCTCTGGCTTTTGAAAATACTAATTCAGAATGCAAAAGGGTGATTATGTCTTTAAAGGCAAGATCAGCACCAACAGATGAATGAATTACAGATTGCTATTGGATCTCATGTTTATGATGCTACTCAATAGTAAAAGATATTTCTAAAATTTTAAGAAAAATCAAAATATAAGTTGTTCTAATTCTGGAAAGCAACGTCATTTGAAAAGGGATTGTAGGCAAGGCATTCCTAGAAACAGTATTTTTTTTTAGAGCTAATCTTTAAAGAAGGCCCCAGGAGTATGCAGAGGTGTGGCAAAGACCAGCATTGTACTAATGAATGCAGATCAACAAGGGACAGACAAGGTAACACTTTGCCATCAGGAAATGAGCTAAGGGACTTCCTACAAGAACCTGATATCAAATTTGATATAATCATTACCTGTTATCATTGGAGAAACCCATTCATAGAGCAATTAAAAGATTTAATGCCTATTGTTAAAACAACACTGTTCTGAACATAAGCAAGGATAGAACAGCTTCAGTAAATAAAGCAAAAAAACTCAAAAGAGACCAGAAAACAAGTATTTTGGCAAATATACTATCTTGCTATAAATGATCAAGAGACCAAAGCTAGAACTACAAATAAATGACATTGAAATTGAAGGATTATTAGACACAGAAACAGTTGTAACAATAATTTCACCAAAATCTTGGCATCCAAATTAGCCTTTTCAGGAGGTAAATATTCACCTTCTAGAGACTGGAAC